AAAAAAAAAAAAAAAAAATGCACAAAGGAAGATGATACAGTACTTATTATGCACCGGAATCCTGAACTTGATACGATACGAAAAACCAAGTTGCCAGGACTGAAAATAGGTTCATGGCTTAGGCACTGAAATACTCTGTTTCTTAGAGCAAAGCTTCGCAAGCCCGAAATCGCATATCTCAGGGCTCGGTAATCTTCTAGAAACTTACAGAAGGCAACTCCTACAGCAAGGATAAAGAGCTGCTAGTATTGTCACAGCAAGGAAAGTAACTCCTAAAGCACCTACAGAAAGCAAAAGGCTTGTCAAAAATATATGAAAGGCTAAAATCACAACTTTACATAAACAAAATTGCATCTGAAGTAAATGAGGAAAATAATAAATCCCATAACAAGAAGAAAAAGTTAAAGCAGGCTGGGAGCAATGTTCACCTCCAAGCAATGGGCCATTGGATGCTCCTGTGAACAACAGACAACAGAAAATATATTAGCTTTTTTATAATTTTGTTTTCTTTTACCTACACATATTGTAAACAGTTTGCTTATTGTGGATGCATTTCATGTTCAATTTTCTGGAGTAGGAAACTGATTTTTTTTTTTGGTTGATTTTCTGAATATCATTTCCGGATGTAGACCTTGAAGTCTATATCCAGAATAGAAGGAAAATGGACAAATGAAAAGGCACAAGTGAAGAAAACATGCATGGCAAAAATATGGGAACAGTAAAACATAACTTGTTTACCCTTCTTTGTGGGTTTGTCAACACACTGAATTTGATGTCTGTTAGTACTTAGTAGAATTACTTGATAATATGCATCTCTATCCTTGAGCTTCACAGACACCACATGCAGGTTCAGACCACTTCAGAGTTCAGATTGAGGGAATATTCACCAGTCATAGAATAATGGGGATGACGATAAGTTTAGCTGTGGTAGCTTTTTTGGGAGTCAATTTTCAGGATCATAAAGATGAATTTGTTGAGTAGCATAGTCGATGTGCTTTACTGCAACTTGTACAGAGGAAGGCAGTAAAAGCATAGTCTCGTTTTTTCTCATCGCAAAACACTTCAAAACCTCAATACCCACAGTAATTCGGGCTTTGCCTTCTATCCTGAAAGAAAACTGAATCTCAGGCCCATGTTTCTTGCAACTGGTGGGCTTACTGTCATCAGTTTCTAATCCAAGCACTGCAGTGAACAAAGACAAGTAAAATAAGACGAGGAAGAATGACATGGTCGCCATACAGGGCTTTGTGTTTCTTGTATGTTTAACAAACTGAGTTTGGGTTTAATGATTCCATGTAAGGTATTGTAAGTGAGAAAATATTCGTAGGAGCAATAAACCTAAATTCTACTCGAAACATGCTAACAGTGGCTAATTAAATTGACTTAACAGAAGTAGCTTTGGACAATTCAGTATAAAGACGTATGGAGGTACTCTAAAGCTTCAGCTAAAATGGCTGGATTGTTCTCCACAATCACACGAGCCACGTTGTTGGCACCGGTCTCACACCGCAGCTCTCGGGCCACCATATGCCGCCGTGAGAATGCCGGACCAGACACCGGTCGAGAAAGACGGGGTCATAATCGGAAAGTGTACCGTATAAAAGGGCTCTTGAGAGTGAGGAATTTGGCATCTCCTTTTTTCTTTCCGGATCAAATGGGTCAAGTTCAGGGAACACATATGGTGAAAACAAGTAAACAACACACCTCTTTATTCTCATTAGATATTCAAGATACCCATTTTGGTGCAAATAAGATCACCTGAAAATTTCCACTTCAGCTAATCAGAATCATCTGCACCAAGGTACAAAAGCGTTTCATAACACGATAAACTGTTCGCAGCAGCTAATACGAAACCTTGCACACGCAAAAATCATGCTTCAACTTAATTAGAATCAATCGCTCAAACTAACGCGAGAAAAATGATGAATTGGTTCAAGAACAAAAACATTATGATATTGTATGAACAATCTCCATTACTTTATTTTAGAAAACGAGTAAAACCTATTATTCAATTATCATGAAAAGTATACTAATAAAATAATTAATATTGTTGTTGATCCAACTTATATTTTTCAATTGAGAAAATTGTAAATTTGGTCTCAAAACTTTTGTTGTTTCCCACATTTGGTCCTATGCACGCCAATTATGGTCCTTTTTGAATTTTCATTGCCAAAATGGTCCCACGTCCGTCAAGATTGACAGGGCTCATGTGAGGACGTAAGATTGGACCAATTTTGTAATTTTTGGGACCAATTTTACAATTTTTCAAAAAGAAAAAAAAATGAGTTATTCAAGTTTTTCAAGGCTCTCTCATTCACTCAAAGTGACATAATAAAATTAATTTACTATGAATATGATGCGAGAAATAAATATTAAAAATAATTTTATATAAATAAATATCAGGTGGAAAAGTAAAGGAGTTGATAAATTTTAATTTGGGATGGAAAAGTAAACGATATAATTGCTAATTGAGTGGTATTTATTTTATTTTCTAATATTTTTACTGTCATTACTTAAAAAATATTGACAATTATTTGAATATTATTTAAACTCAAGAATAATTAGAAATAATATTATTTTACTTAAATAAAGCAAACCAAAAGACATAATCCAATTCATCAAAATAAGAAAAAATGTGAGTATGCTTACTATAATACTAATCCCGTCTACACTTTTAAACATTAGTATAACGTGATAATTTATATATATCCTTACAAACTTTATAAATAAATACGAATTAAAAAAAAACCCAATCTAAACTATTTTTTTTATTACTGTCTATTTTTATTTTAATAATTTTTTATTTATTAATTTGATTTTGACAACTATAAATTGAAAAATCTATTTATTTATGCAAATTACATCTACATAAAAAATTTCAATTTTAAGCAAAATAAAACAAAATTTGGCATTAAATTAAGTGAAAATAGAAATTTCTCCCACTTATTTATAGTAAAATATATCATATATTTTTTATTTTTTTTTGCATCTCATTTATCATGAACTAATTAATAAAATTATTTTATACACCTTTTGTTAAGTTACCCAATTAAATAATCATTTTATGTAAAAAAAATCAAGTTAAACTTTAATTTACAATAAAAAAATGTGAAAGAATTGTATGCTAGTTATATTTATCTTTTATAATTTATTAAAAAATAAACTAAATGTATTGTTAGGAAAGAATGGTAATATACCTTTTTAACATTTATTAAAAACTTTTTAAAAAAATGTTTCTAATAAAAATAAATTTAAAATAATTTTTATCACTTACTCTTTAAGAAAATTGCAAATTTTGTCCCAGAACTTTTGTTGTTTCCCACATTTGGTCCCAGGCTATAAACGTTGACTATTAAGTCTTGACGGAGTGGGACCGTTTTGGCAAAGAAAATTAAAAAATGACCATAAGCATGTTTGTTTATGAAATTTTTTGGTTTTGTTTTGATTTTTTGGTTTGGTTTGGTTAATTTTGGAAAAAGTGGTAAGGTTAGTTGTTAGTGGGTATATTAAAATAATATTTAAAATAAAATAATTAAAATTAATTTGATGTAAAAGTATGAGAGAGATGATTGAAGTGATGGTTAGTTAAAATAATATGAGTAAATGAATAGTGAATTAAGGTTGATGTGGTGTGTATAAATGATTGATTGATATTATTTAATTATATTAATAATATTGATGATAATGGAGTTGAGTTGTTGGGTTAAAAAAAATGATTGAATTAAAATGTTGAAATTTTTTTAAAAATTTTTTATAAACAAACATGTCACAAATTTGCAATTTTCTCTTTTTCAATTGTTTGACAAAAATTTGAGGGGAAAAAAAAAATCTGTCTAAACGCTCTTGTGACGTGTCAGTGTAGTGTGGACTTGCGGCTCTCGCTTGGACTTACACTCATCTATACTCTTACTTATAAAAAGATTGAAAGACTCACTCTCATAAAGCCACGTGGCGTCTTATAAGCTAGGGGCCGCGACTAAACGACGTCGTTTTAATTTTTGGATGAAACGGTGTCGTTCTTGGGCGTATTATTTCGATATCGGCCTTTTTTTTTTCTCACAGTTTCGCCTTATGCCCGTTTTCTCTCTTTCTTTATTCTGTTAAAAGGAAAAAAAAAATTCCGTCCTGCTCTTCGCGATGATTTCTTCTGGCAATTAGGTGCGGGAAACTTTTGCATTGCTTTCTTGGTATGATCTGTTCTTTAAATCTATTTGTTGTGCCTAGGGTTTTTACATTTTCTACGGAGTATTGTATTTCCGTTGGCTGTTGTTGTACTACAGATCAAGTCATTTCTTGGTGTTGTGTTTTCATTCCCCGGAATTAGTTCATCGTTTTTTTTTTTATTGTTTATTTTGGGTTGTTATGTGTATGTTGGTTGATTTCCGCTTTCAATGAAACCCTAATTCAGATTGAAATAGCAGTTTAGTTACCTAGGATACTCATTGTTTAAGTTTTCTATTTTCTCTTGATGAAGGTGGCGGAGCGCTAAATCGGGGATTGTAGCGTCAATGACGGGGGCCGAGTAAAAAAACAGGGAAATAAATTTTTTTTAATGTTTTTTTTTTCTTCATTCTTTGTTTTTAATTACATTCAGAATGTTTACCATTAGCCCCTATTTGTTTTATTTCTGTTGTAGACTAGATCTTTCCAATTTTTTTATTAAATAATTATACTATACTTGCCTGTTGTGATATATTCGATTAAAGGTATAGATTATTATCTTTTAATTTTGGGTGTGTAAAGAAGCACCAGAAGTTTCTGCTGGCATCATCATCATCATTACAATAAGATTTTTGGATATCTATTTGCAGTGATTTAGTTTATTTTCGGCTGCTATTTGCTCTTTGTTGTAGGAGTTTAAAATTAGTAGAATTATTAGTTTATATATTTGTTGATTTGATAGAACCACACTAAGTGAATTCTTCCATTATTATATTATAATATGGGTCAAATAAGTCTGACATTGTATGGTATAGGTGTATAGATACTTTCTAGAAAAGCAATTTATATTTAAGCACTAAGTATACTCTCAAGAAAACAGCTCCATTGCTACAGGTAAGTTTTCTCTACTCAGTTTATGTCGAATTCTTTACCTTCAGCTGATATTTTTTTTTTTTCAACTTCAAGTTATTTGCTCTTTTTTCTTGATGTTTTTAGAAACCAAGATTAGTGTATCGTAATATTCGAGATGATTTCCAATATGTGTTTGTGATATTTATCTAAACAGATGGATTTTTTGTGGAAATATAGGTCTACTAAAGACATGAAATTTAACAAATCTAATGTTAACTTGTGTTGAACTTTACTTTGTGTTGAAATGATAGAGTTATTTTTCTGTTTCTTTATATGTTAAGAAAACAAGTTTGTCATTTTACAATATATGTTTTGTTTGTGTTTGTTAGAGGTTCATCTAATTTCATCAGAACAAATAACCATATGAATATCAAGTTAAAAGCTAAATACATGATTAGCTTAAGATGAGCTCATTTTTTCTTTAGTAAGGTTTTGTTATTTGCTAACATTTTAAAAGATATTGTGACTTTTTCCCATTTGGATTTTGGGTGATTGAGTTTTTTCTTAGGTTTATATGTTCTGTAAAAAAATGACTTATACATTATATATAGTTGTAGGTGTGATATCTGATTGATTTATTCTATTCTTTAGTAAAGTTTATACTTCACTGAATCGTATTCTTTTTTTTTTTGTAGGTTATTGCTCTTTCAACTTCTTGGCATCTTCGCAGGTAAATCGGAACGCTGTTGCAATTGTCCATTTCTTGCTATCAGGTTAGTCAAAGATTTTTAAAACTACTATTTCATGTTCTATTTGTTTTGTTATGTATTTGCTTTTATAGGTGTGTGATTGTATATATTGTGTTGTAGTGTTGTTTTCTTATGACTATATGCTGATAATCTATGTTATTTTCTTTGTTGTTTAATAGTTTGCTATATTTTGTGTATTATATCATAATCTTTTATGTCTATAATTAGGTTATGCATTGTTTTTTCTTTTTTTTTTGAATCTGCCTATTATAGCCTTCTCTTCATCTTAGGTTCTTTGTTTCTTATATCCTTTTGGGGTAAATCTAAGTTTATCTGCGTTCAATGTTTAGATATCTTTCATTAACTTACCAGTTTATCTGTTTTTAGTAGTTCATGCTGTACAAATAGATCTTTTAGGCATGTTTGAGTCTCACGAAAACAATAGATCGGTTGACCTTTCTGCCTCTAAAATTTTTTTGGCTAAAAAAAGATATCGCTATTATGCTATTCAAAGATGGAAACAAAAAAAAAAAAGACGAGCTATACTTGCAACTCAGGATATGCGTTTATTACCGCTGTACACTTCTGAAAATACTGTTAATGAAAATATGTTATATAATTCCACTACTTTGTGTGCGTACAAATTAATAGATGTTGTACAATATCAGACGTACCAAGTCACGGAACCTCCTTTCTATTGTACACAACAAATATTACCTAAACAAACTATTAGTAAGACAATTGATCAGCCTACAGCTAAAAATACCTCTCATGTTAATTTCAGTACTATCAAGGGAAAAATTGCTTTGTAGATGAAATAAATAATAGACTCATCAATGATTTCCCAGGAGAAATGGTTGAATATCTAAGTTTTGATGAAGTGTTAAACCCTATTCATAGAGGTCTTTATGAAGATATAATAAATAGTTTAACTCCTGGTGGTATGCCGCCTCATAAACTACAGTTAAAGGTCAATGCCCCTATTATACTTCTTAGAAACTTAGATCCTACAGAAGGCTTATGTAATGGAACAAGCCTAATATGTAAAAAACTAAGCAGAAATGTTATTCATGCAGAAATAGCCATAAGAGACTTCAAAGGAAAAAGTGTCTTTATTCATAGAATTCCATTAAAACCTTCATCTGATGACCAAATTCCCGTGCCTTACACAAGAACACAATTCCCCATCCGACTTTGTTTTGCTATGACTATTAATAAAGCACAGGGTCAAACTCTAGAATCTGTAGGTATTTATTTAAAAGAACCAATTTTTTTGCATGGACAACTATATGTAGCCTTATCACGAGCAAAACAATCTACAGCCATCAAATTTGTGATTAAACCACCGTTCTTTGATCCAGAACGCATTGATGTTACAAAAAACATCGTATACCATGAAGTTCTTGATGTAGCTGCAGCAACACAAAGTACTTACTTATGTATTCATTCTGATTCAAAAATAGGCTCAGTAGTTTCTTTTAGATTACTTTCATAATATATCATCATAAATATTATTTCAACTTATGTATCTTCTCACTGTCACTTTTAATATACGCAGATCATAATGTCACGGGTGTATTTGCGGATTCACCAGATTACAGATGAAACAAATAACTGGACTGCACTAATTCAAGTTGTTGAACGACCACCTGTTCAGACTAGCAAAAATAATACGTCCACGCTTTACCGTAGATATTTGTTTACAGATGAGGAGGTACAAGTGTATAATAGTAGATCTATACACAAAATTACATACAGACTAATATACATATATTTTCTACTGTTAATAATTTCTTTTAAATTGCAGGGGACAAAAGTTTCTGCGGTTGTTTATAATGCTGTTATTAACGAGTTTGATGAACTTCTTATGCCATACAAGAGATACTACCTATCTGGAGCAAAAGTTCGGCCCGAGGTTCCTTTATATCAAGTTAGTGACTACAAATACAACTGGCTTATAGTTTCTGGAACTAATGTTGAAGAATACCAAGAGTCCCTGCCTCCACAACTTCCATGCCACATTGATATCCACACCTTTGCAGACATACACAAGTACGCAGACACAGACAACCCCAGAAGTGAGTAAATTATGCATACACAGATTACTTATTAACCAATTATTCTTATTTTACCTTTCAACAAACAACAAAGAATTCAACCTACCTGCTCATTAACAAAATGCTCATTATAACAGGCCTTTTAGCAGTTGTTGTGCATGCTTTCCCAGTGAGGAATCTTGGTAAAAACAACAAAACAAGAGACTTAGTCATTGTGAATCAAGAGTAAGAACTTTTTTTTAAGGAATAATTCAAATATAGCTTAAAACTCTTGCCTTAGCTTTTATTGTTTTGCAGGGAGAAACCAATGCTTTTAACATTGTGGAACCAATTTGAAAATGATGAAGGTCTGCATTTAGCTAATACAGTAGCAGCTGGAAATGTTCTTCTTGCTATGCGGATTAAAGTTACCACATTTAATGGTATATATTAAAGTTTGAACTTCCATAACAAATAACAAAAAATACTGAAAATAACAAAAATTGACATTTTTGTTCCTTTTTCTATATTTTTTTTTACTATATTCATGTTTGCAGGTCTGTCATTATCTACAAAAGTAGGAGCCTGCTTAATGGTAAATCCACCAACGGCTGCAGCAGCTGAATTAAAGCAGTGGTAAACTGAATTGGGTTTATTAATATAGCTATAAGCAATTTAAATACATTTAGATTCACATCCTCATACACTCAACAGGTACATTGAGAACAAAAACCATGTCACACAACTTGTGAACGAAGAAACATACAGAAATACAGACAAGCTCATCCCAATGCCTGAGATGACTGCTATAGTCACTGTCCAGGATGCTGTTGCAGTGATGCGAAGTGTAAGCACTAAACATTTACTGAATTTATACAACAACAGTACGTATTTATTTATTTTTATAACTATTGATCCAGGTCAAAACTTGTTGGATTAGCGGAAAAATCAAATTCATTCACGACAACAGGCCTTTGTGGACAGCCACATGTCACATTTGTCGTAAGAATTATAACATGCTCCCCAACACCCCAATGAAATGTCGTATTTGTCGCGAGGACTCTCATGTTGAAGCACGGTAGTGTTTGCATTTTTCCTTACAGTAAATAAAAAAGCATCATTATAAACTTGGATCTTAATACAAAAACTATTTAAATATATTAGGTGCCGCTTGCCAATAACAATCGAAGATCAAACTGGAACTATGAATGCTGTAATCTATGGCGAGGATGCAGAACGATTAATCACTTACAGCGGCAATCAACTATATGAGGCAGACCAACAGGTGCATACATTCTAAACATATACAATTTTCAACTTATACAGAAACCAATTATATACAATTTTACAACTATTGTTTTCATTTTTTTATAAAGAAATATGACTACCACATAAAATATCAGCTCATTCATAAATAACTTTACTACTCACCCTTTTAAATTTCATACTACAGCCAATTGTTTAAATTTGTTATAAACAGAAAAACATAAATATTTAGTTAATTAAACATAGACTATTAAACTTCACTTATATTTTGTTCACAGAGAAAAAAACTCTAATCAACCTTATCGTTGTTTCATTTATTAAATTTAAAATATTTAGACAGAAGCAGTTCAACCAATTTTCACCAATTGCATCAAATTTTCTATGCAGGGTCGTGATTTAACTAAAGAAATTGCCGCATCAGTCGCACGCCACAAAGTTGTCTGCTTCGTAAAACAATCGGAATCTGCTTACCACACAGTTGTCAAGCTTTACAGTATTCAAATGATGATGATTCAAGGAAATGCATCTACAGCAGAGTCGTCTGGAAAAGAAAGTTCTACAGCAACCCCCTCCAAGGTATTACAGAATAAATTCTATAGTTACCAATTCATGCTGAAAAAATATATTACAATAATTTATAATTCCCATAAAACAGGCAACAGATCCAAATCTCTTCAGCCCAACACTTAAAAATGTGCTCGAGTCTGTCGCCCTCAAAATTGAAAAGTCACCAAATGTGCCCACTCCAGAAAGCTCAACCAAGAAACGAATCAACTTTGACGCCCACCAAGACACAACACAAACAAGTAGCTCAACTCCAACCCGGTCAACACTACAATCAACACAGAATACTGCCACAAGCCCTTCCAAGAAAAGTCGCCCAAAAATGGATTAAATCCTTTGCACCAGACTTTTGTACTTTTGCTTGACATAGCAGCAATCAAACTCATCCTTTTTGCCTTTTTTGCAACTTAACAGAATTGTAGACATCTATTTTCAAATAGATGTTCCTCAATTCTGTCAATCTGTTTTCACATATGGCATCTTTTGTAAACTGCCACTTTCTTATGCTGACTTTATTGGTTATGCGTGCAATTTCAAACTGATGTTTATTTTGACACTCTACTAAGCAATTCCCATGACTTTAACCAATCAATCAACGAACAATACTACTCCTAAATACTTCCAAGAGCCGTGGGCCCATTGCTTTGCCGCCGTGGGCCGGCTGTGCTTGCACAGCCAAAGTTTGCTAGTTTCAATAGTGGGATTAAGTGTAAAAGAGGAGGAAAACGCGTCTCATCACAAATTCAACGGACTTACAATTGAATAATTAACTTAACTAAAAACTTCAAATTAAATTATTGCATAAAAGGGAGAAAGGAAGAAAATGAAGAAAAATATTATCCGGATTGATGGTAAATTATTCAATAAAACATTATTTAGATGATTGACTCAAATTTGATGATTAAGTTGTTTGGTAAAAAGTTTACTTAGTTAAATTTTTTAGCTTAAAATGATGATTTTGAAATGATTAGCTGATTGAAACTTATGTAGATGACTGATCCATTAAATATGTTATTTAACTTGTTTGGTAAAAAAATATTTAATTAATTTTTTTGAACCAAAACTTTAACTTTTAAAAAGCTCAATAGTTTTGAACTTTTGATTGGAAATTCATAAAAGAACACCTCAAACCCAAAGTTTTCAAAATAGTTATAAAAATAATTATTTACCATATACTCATTTAGTCATTTATAGCATAATAATACAATCAATTAATCAAAACACATGTTATAATATGTTGTCCATTAATACAACTAATAACCAAACAAATAAAATAAAAAAACGAATAAAATAATAAATAAATATACAATATTTCATGAACAAACGTCGTACTCTAAAAATAACATAAACAAATGTTCGGCATTTCACATCATACATGTTATTAAGTAAAATATAACGAGTCGATCTGTTTAAAAAATAGTCAATTTTCAAAAGTTTGTAAAATAAAAATAGTCAATTTTCAAAATTTTGTAAAATAAGAATTTGCGCAAAGAAAAAGGTTCCCAATCTAACAAAGGCCAAAACCCTTCGCTTCTCTCTTAATGGCAAATGATGCCATCAAAGCATAAAATCTGATTGCAGTCTTGTTCTCCAACCAACTCTTTCTCCCTCCCCTTCTCTCTCTCTCTCCCTCTCTCTCTATCTCTCTGAAGAAAGTTAGGGTTTGGAGGAATCAAATCACTTTACTAATAACTGTCACCTCACTTCAATCACTCACTTCAGACACTGTAGATGATTATCCTCAGTCGCTAATCAACAGTTTCTGGTTTCGAACTGCTGCTCGGGAATTTACATCTTTTGAGGTTTGTGATCCGTTTTTTAGATGCAAGTTTTGACCTTTATTTTCCCCATTTTCGTTTGCTTCGATTTGGGATCGGCCGGATGGGGTCAATTGGGCTGCACGTGTTTTTGGTTTTGATTTTGTGTATTACGCATGTGTTCTTTTGCTTTCCCGTATGCAGGGTGATGGGAATTGTTGCCTCATTTGGTTGCTTGATTGTTCTTGTTTACTTATTTTGCTGGTTGATTTTGTTGCCATTCTCATCTTATTTTTTTCTCCATTTGGAGGATGGTTTTATTGGTCATTTAACACTTCTGGGAGTGTTTATTCTTAATTTTTTAGCTGAATTGTCTGTTTGATGTTGCCTTTTTTGATGGACTCAGAACATAATTTGGAGTTGATTGTTTTCTCAGTTTGTGGAACATTTGAAGTGAGTGATGGGAATTGTTGTCTCATTTGGTTGTTTGGTTGCTCTTGGTTACTTTTTTTGCTGGTTGATTTTGTTACCATTTTTACCTTTTTTTTCTACTTAGAGTTTGATTTATTGGTCCTTTTACACAATGGGTATTTGTGTTTAAAATTTTTAGCTGAAATTTACTGTCTCATGTTACGCATTTTTTGTTTCAGTACTTAAGTTGGAGTTGATTGCTTTCCCAGTTTGTGGAACATTTTTGAAGTGGGTGACTAAGTAACTTGGATTAGCTTAGTTTGTAGTTAAAGAAGGGATTTTGATAGAAACTGAAATTTAGACCTCTGGTACTTTAACTGTAAATGGAACTAATATATTCAGTCATGGTAAGATGATGGAGCTTCGTATTTTCTTGTCTTGCTAACCAAAAAGGGATTTATTTACTATGAAAAGAAGATTACCAATTTTTCTTGGTTTTGTATATTTCATCGGTTTCCTTACACAGCATCAATAGGTTTGGTTTCTATCAAATGCACTGAGTAATATAATGGATGTGTAACTGAAGTATTGCAAGATTAACGTTGAGGGAAGAAATTATCTAAGATACATTTGTATATACAGAATTTAGCCTGAGCTTTTGGCAAGAAAAGCAGCGAGTATGGAGGCCGCAAAACGTTGGTTCGGAAAGCTGCACCCTAAGTCCAAGGATTCAAGCAAGAAGAATGAGCCTAAGCCTAACGGGAAGGAAGGTTCAAAGGCACCATTAAATGAGGAAACACCTTCAGTTGCGACTAAGCAAAAGGTAGAAGCTGCCAAGCAGTATATAGAAAAGCATTACAAGGATCAGATGAAGAGCTTACAGGAAAGGAGGGAGCGGTATGAACTTGTATTTAATTGTTTATTTATTGTAAAGATACCCCTTTTTTATGCATTTTCTAGCCTTTGCCCTCCGTTTACATGACACATTGTTTATGTCTATTTGCTGGCTATGGTTTCCTTTTATTTTTCTATGCCGAATCAAACTTCCTTGACCTTCGTGTTTCTTTTACTATTATATGTTACTCCCACGTCATTTTTTTATCAGGTTGGTTTTGCCTCTAGATATTTTATTTTGTACGTTTGCTGCTAGGGTTGCTAGATATTCTCTCTCTCTCTCTTCCTTCTTAGAGGTAAAATAATTTCTCAAATTGATAGTTGTTGATCTTAAATTTATAAAGAACTGTCTTGGCACCAAATCTGCTGATGTGTTTATCAAGTTATTATCTATGGTGAAGTTATAAAATTGATTGTACAAATATTTTATTTGAGATTTGTGGGATGATTATTGAGCAGATAATTTGAGGAATACCTCTATTAATCAGGTAGAGATAACGGCATGTATGAATAACACATCTGTACCTCATAGTTATATATTTGGCATTTTAACTTCCGTTCCTTTTGTCTTCTTTATACAATATACAATTGGTGATTAGCAATTAATTGTAGCTTAAAAGTATGTCAAGAATAAAAAGAAGTGCAGGTACATCTTGTACAAGAAAGAAGTTCATTTCATGAATAATTGTCGGACATATTATCCCAAGAACCAATCAAAAATCATTTGTTGAACAGGTGACCCTGGCAGACAATTGGAAATACCAAGTGGCCAAAGTATCTAATAGGAATGCAATACACCATATTATTGTAGAAATATGAATTGGTTCTGTAATTTTCAATATTTACTGAATATGCGAATATTAGCTAGTGTAAAAATATTTGGCTTATCGTATTACCTATGAGGCCATGAACGCCAAAGCACCAGTAGTTTTTATATCATTCATGGGTGCATCTAACTTCATTGTATGTGCTCGTGGCAGTCGAAACCAATAACCATATCTTGAGTTGGTACAGAAATGGGAGGTACATTTTGTGTGCTCGGGGTAAAAGTTTTGTATAAATATATTGCCATGCTTTACAGATTTTGACTCAAGTTCTTAAAATAGATTAAAATTTCACTTTGGGTGAAAAATCTCATAAGAGCTAATAAAGAGAAACTTGTAGCTCTCTTTAAAATGGACATGGTAAGTTAGATCTGTTGTACCTACTTTTTGGTGTAGTTAATCATTAAAGCTAATCTTTGAGTTTTCCCTGACTCCTATCGAGTAAAATAAACAAAAATGGAAATATTGTTTGGGAGAGTCTTATAAGTATTAAGTATTGAAGATGCATCTAGGGTCTTCAGACTGTGTTTCCCTATGCCTTTTTTTTGTTTGCTCTAAAAGAGTTGCATGAGATTTTTTTACAAAAAAGGAAAAACTGTTTTATTTTTCTCATTTATTTTGGTAGCAACAGTGGATGTTTTATTTCTATCAAACAAATACACTAGCTATCTATATCTGAGTTTTCGTGTGCTGTGAAATTCAGAATGATGATTATTTTATCTGTTCCCTTGTAGACGCAACATGCTGGAGAAAAAACTGGCTGATGCTGAGGTATCTCAGGAAGAACAAAACAACATTCTCAAGTACCTAGAGAGAAAAGAAAGAGAATATATGCGCCTGCAGAGGCGTAAAATGGGTGCTGATGACTTTGAGCCTTTAACCATGATTGGAAAGGGTGCCTTTGGGGAGGTTCTCTCTCTCTCTCTCTCTCTCTCTCTCTCCCCCCTTGGCATTAGTTACATAATGTTTTTGCCTGCTGCAGGTTAGAATCTGTAGGGAGAAATCTACTGGCCATGTTTACGCCATGAAGAAGCTTAAGAAATCGGAAATGCTTCGTAGAGGCCAGGTAGAAATAAATTTACCATTAATTTGTTGTTGCTCGATATTAGTGCGTATTTCCTCAT